AACCACTGTTCCTTGAGATTCTCCTCTTCGATATCGTCTCACTTCATCTTTTTCAACATCAGTGACATAGAGAGATCCATTCTCGTCCATTGTCAAACCCACACAAGCGATGTTGGAGATGATTGTTTCTCCACTTGTCCCATTTCGACGAGGCCATCGAACCACTCTTCTATTCGAATAATCGCATATGATGAGACTATCTCTCTCTTTGTCGATAATCACATCTGTTGGGTTATCCAATTGATGATCTCCACTTCCTTGTCCATTTCCACCGGCAACCACTTGGCCACTTGTTACACCTCGTTTCCATTCCACAATACGGTGATTCGTTCGATCAGCAACATAGATTGTTTGATCATCATCAACATACAAACCACATGGGTTTGAGAGTTGATTGATTCCATTGCCTTGTCGATTTCCTCCAGCCACAGTGATACCATTTTGTTGCCATCGAGCATTCGGATGAATGTTGGTACTGGATGGAGAACGTGATGGATAATCTAAAATAGAGACAAGAAAAATTATTAAAATAAGAGAGAGAATTTTTTTATTCATAGAAATTGGATTTGAGAGAAGACGAGAAATAGTTTTTAGTTAAACTCTCAACTTTGTCAGCAACAAGTGTTTTAGTTTAAAATAGTACTTTGTTGAATTCAAAGTTATTCATTGTAATATTTTCAGTCAATCATTCATTATTGCTTTATTTCGCTCTCAGATGTCATCACTCCTATTCTTTTCGAGCATAAATTACGATGAAATAGAGAGTTTTCCTTATGATCTATTTTCTACGACCGTACAAATAAAGAATCTTTTCGTTGAAAACTGAATAATCATGTTAAACAAAGATCAATTCCGCAGAGATTGCTGTAGAATAACAGTACAATGCTACATTTCATTTGCAATTCAAATACCTTACATTATTTCTGTTTTTTATTCGTCAACTACTTTTATTGCATGCTCTTAGATAGTTTAAAAAGTATGAACTTATGTTATTTTTTCATATTACTTACAATTACATTATCATCAGAAAACGATCTTAGAAAGGAATTAATTACATTGGCCACTGAGTAGAGTGACTTTTTTACAGTTTATGTACAGATCAAAATGGATCAACACTCCTACAAATTAGATCACGATGAACAATGAATAAATCTGATTTCTTTAGTTTCATTTGATTTACGACTTCGAAAGATATTTGCCGGAAGTTTAATTTGTTTGCCTCACATTCAGAGTCAATTATCTATTAGTCATTAGAAGATATTCATCTATTCATCTAGATCAGTTTCTGGAACTTTTTTCATTGATTAGAGCTGGAATCAAACTGAATTAGTTCAGTTTTGGACTTTGATTGTGAAAGAGGTCAAATTTTCTGAACACAAAAAATGAATAATTAGCAAAGTAGAATATATCTTTTGTTTTCGTCATATTTCACATAAACATACGACTAGCATGGATTTATTTTCATAATCAACTTACACTTGGAGAAATTCTATTTCGAAAATAAATAAATTTAAAAAAGTCATACTATGTGATTATATATTGTATAATGAAAGTTCTATTTAAAAGTTTCAACTAAATTAATTTATTTAGCCTAATAGAAAAATAGCTAACATTTGATTGACGAAGAATTAAGAAAAAGAGTTTATTTACATGTTGAGTTCATTGAAATGGAACAAGAAAAGATAAAATTCAATTTTCAGTAGTATTGATGCAGTTTAAAAGACACAAAATTGGATTCATCTTGATGATATAGTTTCATCGCAACTATTGTCGGACAGTTGTAATACGAGTTTCGGAACTCTTGACTTTCATTATTGAAATATAATATGCAAACACTATAAGAAGAAGCAATAAATTTCATATTTTCTTGATTGCTACCGAAGATAATACTGACAATGAAGGTGTTTGTACTGTAAGTTGAATTTACCAGATATTTTTGCATCAATAGAAAGCTCTCGTCGCCAAACTAACAAGGTTAGAATATTAGCGGCTGTTGGCATACTCTTATGGAGATATTCATGGTTAGGGTATATAGGTACCTTAGGATTATTTATATTAATTTTTTTATTCAATTAACCGAGTACTTTACTCGTAGACTATTACAATCTTTGTGAAGCTTATTAATAGAATTAAGATCATCCATAATTTCGATGTGTTTTGGGACCTAGGTAGTATTAATATACATTCAAATCAGCTGATAACTATCAAAATCTTTAACTTATCAATAGCTTCAATTTTTATTTCTGCTGAAAACAATAGATTATATAATATACCATTTCAACAAATTTACTACAAGTGCAGATGTAGATCTTCAATCAGATGATAGTAACAAAGAGCTTCTTTGCACCAAGCACACATCAATAGTTTTCGTTCATTGCAATCATTAATTGAACAGTTTATATCATAAAATTTGAAGCAAACATCTTTTGGTTTTTCAATTTGTCCAATTGTTTCAGTCGTTATTCGAGCTTGTATAAATCCATTTTTAATTAGATTGTTAAATTGTGGATCTGATAATTGATTATGGATAACGGAATGGATGTTGATGAAATATTGACGATCACTTAAATTTATCACTGTACGATTGATATGAGTATAATATTCTATTTTTTCATGAATAAATCGCCATGATCGAAATAAAGAAAGATCTTGTGGTTGAATATAACCGGTTGATCCTTCGTGAAAAATCAATAGTTGGCTGTCTTGATTAGGAAACACTGATCTAAATTTTGTTAGATCAGTTTGAGTTGTCCAAGAATCAAGGAAGAGAAGGAATTTTTTACCCACCAAAGGACGCAGAACTTCATTTAAAAAAGTTTGATGTTTTTCATGGCTACTTTTTCCTGATTTTAAAGCTCTTACTACAACATTTGGTGGTACAATTAGATTTTTGTCCACCCTTTTACCGAATTGATTTTCTTTTTCTTGAAGGATGAATAAGAACTTTTCTAATAAATGACCATTAGCTGATGTAACCGGTTGAACCGTGTAAGAACGCGTGGTGTTGTATTTCTTTGTGACAGTCACTTCTGTTGTTCTTTCTCCAGTAAAAGAAAGAGTCCTTGGAGAAATGTACTCCTGTTGAAACGAACAATGATCGCTGTTGAAAATTTGATGGGAAGAATACTTTGATATTAAACTTCTTTTGCTTTCGAAACAATTTTGAGCATCTAAAACATATTTATGTATTACATTAAGACATGTGTTTGAAGACTAGATTAAGGTTTAATTACCATTTAAACTGCAGAATTGTTTTTTTGATTTAGTTCGAGTAATAATTTTATTAACTCTTCTTGACGATATTCTATTTTGTCTTTTAAAACTATTAATAAACGATTTGCTTGCCTTGAATTCATCCCAATTCAATTCTCTTGCTTTTTGAATAGCATATAATTCAAGGTCAGTGTCATGAACGGCATCCTTTTCAATGGCTCTTTTCAAATAAAATTGATCAAACATAAATTCTTTAATTTTTTCTAATTTGTCTGATCGTGTGCCATTGTTTTTAATATATTCTCTGAATCTTGTAATATAATTCATAGATTTGATCTTTTTAAATCGGTTGGAAATAGTTGCGAATCTGGCATTCGGATGTTGGTCAACCCATTCGATAATATTTTCCATTTCTTCTAATGTAAACCGATTTTGTAAATTAAAATAACCATTTTCATCATAATCATCAATTTCTTCATCGTTTTCTTCTTCATCCGTCATTTCATCATATTCATCTTCAAATTCCAGAGTATCATTAGTATACAGCTCACTAAAGTAGCTGTCCTTAAGTGACTTCAGAACTTCGAATAATTGTTTTGCAGCAAAAATTTCATCAGTAGTTGTTGCAGAATTTTCAAATCCATATTCAGTTTGAGCCAAATGAAGATGTTTGGCAATGTTCAATAATTTCATGTTTTAATTGAACTAAATAGACGTTTCCAATGGGTAGATAAAACAGAGAACGAAAGAGAATAATTCTTCGATAGTATATTTCATTGTGATTTCATAACACCAATCATAAAGAATTGGTCAATCAGACCACCAAGTGACGCATCAATGCACTTTCGGTTTTGAATATTATACGCGCACATCAGTTTGGAAACACATTATGCACCTTTTTCCATTTAGATAGTATCTAGGTCCCAAAAGACATCGAAATTATAGGTGATCTTAATTCTATTAATAAGCTTCACAAAGATTGTAATAGTGTACGAGTAAAGTACTCGGTTAGTTGCATAAAAAAATTAATATAAATAATCCTAAGGCACCTATATACCCTAGCCATGAATATCTTAAAAATCGAATATCTCCATAAGAGTAAGCCAACAGCCGCTAATATTTTAACCTTGTTAGTTTGGCGGCGAGAGCTTTCTATTAATGCAAAAATATCTGGTAAATTCAACTTACAGTACAAATACCTCCATTGTGAGATAAAAGCTAGTAGTTTTACAGGATTAGGTTTATAATAGATAAAAAAGAGCAACAATAGAGACAAAACGAAGTTTATTGAGAAATGTAAACAACATTTGAAATGGCAAATTATCTATCAAAAGAACCAACTTCTTTAACCAAATAACTATCAACAAAATTCAGATAAAAGAATGACACACACTCGTTCTTAATGAGCATGTCAATAGATGTTGATACTCAAATCTACATCAATTCACCACTTCATATCTATATCCTCATCAGCTAACATATATTACAAAAACATTGTAGAAGTTGTATGATGTTCTTCTTACTGATAAGGACATTAGGAGACTTTTTGAAAGAATAGTTAACATTTTAGCTTCTGATATAATGAGGTATTCCATGCAGAAAAAATACTAGATTTTAAAACGATTTCTTGCCAAGATTATTTCTATAATATATGTAACATCGAGAAATTTTGCAAAACTTTCATCATACCTGTTTATTGTTTATCCTACTATATGTCTATGACTTGTACCAATTCAAATAATTGAAAGAAGATCTCGAATGAAAACAATTGAGATATAGACGACTACTGGTATTTTATTTAAAGACTTTCGATTGTTCGAATGAAGAACATTTGTAACGTAAGTTTGTGCTAACTTGAAGACCTTGTTTTCTTTCATATTCAGCGAAATAGTGATTGTTTTGGAAGAAATCTTCATGACAAGCAACTTTACTTACAAGTCATAATTATTAGTCATAGAAACTGAATATTTCAATTGATTTCTTTAAGATATTTCAAGAGATCCTTGAAATATCTAGGAATTATGCACTAGTCTTAATGATGAAATATTGAACCACATGGGTAGATAAGAGGTTATTGAAAAATGATGTCAAAAAAACATTCTTTCGTCGAACAGGTAATAAATTAGTGATGGATACTTAACTGGTGTCTACTGAAGAATTATAATGTATTTGATTGCTCTTCACTTCAATGTTCTAAAGACAATGAAAGCTTAAAATTTTAACATATGTACTATTTCATATGGACTATAGTATAAAGTAGAAAATTCCAAATTGTTACTAAGTTTGAAATTTACGTGGCAAAATTACTGTAAATTTCATTTTGTTTTGATATTTTCAGAATTTCTATCAGTTAAAAAAGTTCTTAGAAATTTCAATGTAAACATAATTATTTCTTTTCTTGAAACCTATCGTTTCAAAACTAGTTAAGAAATCAAAAATGTACTAACTTGACATCAATTGAGACTAAGAGTATGAGATAGGGTGAGGGCAATGGTAAGATTACACTATTAGGATAAAACGATTAGTACCTACCGTTGTACTCATGAATGTGCTAATATTAGGGAAATAAGATGTCTAATTTTCTCGTGATGATGTTACATTGTGCATACTTGTAAAACCTAGCAATCAAAGATCTTGAAAAATTTATTAATCATTGAAGATTTGCTACGACCTCAGTAAAATGATGATTTTTAAAGAAATATAGTAAACGAAGAGTGCTCAACGAACAAAATACAGATAATGATTTATGAAAGCTTGAATCTGTTCAACTAATCAAACAATTTTTTCAATAGCTGAATGCTCAAAAACCTAGATTGATGATACAAGTGTTCAGAAACTGTCGTTTCAATTCCGTGACACGATATTTTCGCGCGCGACATTTTCGCGCCGACATTTCCGCGCACGACACTTCCGAGCACGACAATTCCGCGCACGACACTTCCGCGCAGCGACATTTCCGCGCGGCGACATTTTCGCGCACGACACCACCGCGCGCGACACTTCCGCGCTAAATGAAGTTTTCTGTTTTTCCTACATTAGGTTAATGCAACTTCTAAACTTCCATGAATAGATCTGTGAGTCTGGGCTCCAGCACGGAATGTGTGTGCATGCGGAGCATGCGTAGGGCAATCCAGTAGAAGTTCGGAACTGATGAACAGCTTGTAAGAGTGATCTGATCGGATCTTTTTCAACTGTTCAGCTCAGATGTAATGAACTGTTCGAAGAGTTGTTCCGACATTAGGGAAACTGCTCAAGCAGTCCTGTTCAGATCAACACCTCACTGAGGAAGTCCTCTGATGGACCTCATCTGTTCTGAAAGATAGATTGTTTTTTATGGAAAACTAGGATGCTGACATTGACACCTGGGATGCTAGAGGCATCACCTGAACTGCTAGAGACATCACGGAGGTTGCTAGTAGTATTATCTGGCATGCTAGAAGCATCACTAGAGTGTTGGAAGTAGAGCCCGTCGGGTCCAGAATTTTTGGACCCGGACCCGGACCCGATCATTTAAAATTTTTCTACCCGGATCCGGACCCGGACCCGTTTACAGGTTGCTGGACCCGGACCCGGACCCGGTCGCTTAAGTTTTTTGGATCCAAACACAATGACAAGTCAGTTTAGATAGTATAGTCAAGAAGGGTTTTGTTGTTTTTTATCTATTTTCTAAATACATTTGATTTCTTCTTTGTATAAAACGAACAAAACTTTAAAAAAATTCAAAATAAATTGTATGGATCAAAGTTTTCTTCAGACCTGGATCCGGTTAAAGCAAAATTTTCAGACCCGGACCCGGTCAAAATAAAATTTTTGGACCCGGACCCGGACCCGGCCAAAGTAAAATTTTTGGACCCGGACCCGGACCCGGACCCGTGCGGGTCCGGGTCCTACCCGACGGGCTCCAGTTGGAAGCCTCACCTAGGTTACTATAGACATAACCTCGGATACCATAGGTACCACTTGGGTTGTTCGCAGCATCGTAAGTGATGCTCCTCGGTTTCTATGTGACGCTTCTAGTATCACATATAATATAACCAGCATCCCGGGTGATGCACTTAGCAGCCTAGATGATGTCTCTAGCATCATAATGATGCTTCTATCATTCCAGGTAATATCTCTATGAATTCAGGCGATGCCTCTAGCATTTCAATGATGGTACTAGCATCTCATGTAATGCTACTGGCATGCTAGGTAATGCCTCTGGAATTCCAGCTATCGGTGCTGCTGTGGATATGGACTTGGGCTGTGAAGTGCGCGTGTAGGTTGGTGTCGGTGTGCGCTCCTATGTGGATCTGGGATCCGGATATGATTTCTTGGGTGAATTTGAGTGTTGGGTTGTGGTTGTGGTTGTTGGTATTAGGGTTCCTTTGTCTTTGTTCTACTCCCACACTCACACCAAAACTCTGCACCCGCACCAACAGAACAGTTAATAAAATTTTAGAAGATGTATTAACTTAATGCAGGAAAACAGAAAACTTTATTTAGCACGAAGTGTCGTGCGCGGAAATGTCGTCGCGAGGAATTGTCGTGCGCGGAAGCGTCGCGCGCGCAACTGTCGTGCGCGGTAGTGTCGGTGCACAAATGTCACGCGCAGAAATATCGTGGAACCTTCAATTCAAATGTTTGAAAAAGACACTAACTTCGAAAATATGTAAAATAAATGAAGGATAGAGACAGAAAACTGTACACAGTTATTATACAGCAATCAGCAATACAATTGGGAACTGTCAAAAGAGCAAATCGGCTTGAGCGCGTAACGCGTAACTTCAAGACCAGAAGTTTGAATTCATCATATACGAAATTCATTGTCACCACCGTGTAGAGCATGGTCTAAAGTGTAGGGAAATATATTTTGCTTCATTAATAACTATGTCAAAGTGTATTTGGTAATTTGTAATAGAGATATTACTCACAGTTATAGAAAATTCTTCTATTTAGACCACTAATGAACCTAACCGATATATCGAAGCAGTTTGAAATCAACAAAGTTGATTAAGGCTGATCAAGACTATGATAGTAGATGTGTCTTTTGACATAACAAATGATTTTGTATGTGTTATACTTTTTTGTAACGAGCTTGTCTAAAACTGCCCACTTTATAACGTCATCGCGTAACGAAAAATGAGTATTGTTTTTTTTCATTTGTCGGTCTTTATTTTTTTTGGCAAAAAATAAATATCTAAAGCTAGTTTTTTTATGAGCTATCTAATACACCTATTTTCCCAGAGAAAGATTCCGTTTTATAATAATTTTACGTAACGCGATGACGTTTTTTGTATTTTTTATATCTATGAAAAAAATATTTCCATATAGTAGTTTCTTAGGCAAAAACCACTATAAACTATATTTAATGTATTCTTTATTAATTACTGACAGATTGCCATAAGAGTATAGCTGATTGATTTAATAAGTTGATTGCGTTCAGTTAGAATGAAATTATCAATCTAAATTATCTATCATTTCTATGATATATGCGTAAGGTGGGAGCACTCAAAATTTCAGTTAACACTTTTTCTCCATGATTTATATATGGTTGGATAGAGCTCAAAAAACTGTGTAAGTAAATGTACTTTTAAAGTCATTTTCCTATTTTATAAGATTTTAAACCCTTAAAAGACCGAGATCATACTGTTACTAGGACGATTTCGTATAAAATGATCTTAGTATTTTGAGGTTTTTAATATTTATAAAAT